TTTTGATAGGGGAACACCTACGTGAGAATCTATTCATTGCAAAAGCTCCTTCACCACCATAGTGCCCTCTAGCTCATCCCAAAGCTAAGGATCCTGGGACTAAACACCTCCCTCTGCAACTGGATCCTGGACTTCCTGACGGGCCGCCCCCAGGTGGTAAGGGTAGGTAACAACACATCTGCCACACTGATCCTCACACGGGGGCCCCTCAGGGGTGCGTGCTCAGTCCCCTCCTGTACTCTCTGTTCACCCATGACTGCATGGCCAGGCACGACTCCAAACACCATCATTAAGTTTGCCGACGACACAACAGTGGTAGGCCTGATCACCGACAACGATGAGACAGCCTATAGGGAGGAGGTCAGAGATCTGGCCGTGTGGTGCCAGGACAAACAACCTCTCCCTCAACGTGACCAAGACAAAGGAGATTGATTGTGGACTACAGGAAAAAAAAGAAGGACTGAGCACGCCCCCATTCTCATCGACGGGGCTGTAGTGGGAACAGGTTGAGAGCTTCAAGTTTCTTGGTGTCCACATCACCAACGAACTATCATGGTCCAAACACACCCAAGACAGTCGTGAAGAGGGCACGACAAAGCCTATTCCCCCTCAGGAGACTAAAAAGATTTGGCATGGGTCCTCAATCCTCAAAAAATTCTACAGCTGTACCATCGAGAGCATCCTGACTGGTTGCAATCACCGCCTGGTATGGCAACTGCTTGGCCTCCGACCGCAAGGCACTACAGAGGGTAGTGCGTACGGCCCAGTACATCACTGGGGGCAAAGCTTCCTGCCATCCCGGACCTCTATACCAGGCGGTGTCAGAGGAAGGCCCTCAAAATTGTCAAAGACTCCAGCCACCCTAGTCATAGACTGTTCTCTCTGCTACCCGCACGGCAAGCGGTACCGGAGTGGCCAAGTCTAGGTCCAAAAGACTTCTCAACAGCTTCTACCCCCCAAGCCATAAGACTCCTGAACAGCTAATCATGGCTACCCCGACTATTTGCACTGCCCCCCCACCCCATCCTTTTTACGCTGCTGCTACTCTGTTAAGTATTATGCACAGTCACTTTAACTCTACCCACATGGTACATATTACCTCCAACTACCTCAACTAGCCGGTGCCCCCCGCACATTGACTCTGCAAACGGTAACCCCCCCTGTATATATAGGCCTCACTACTGTCACTTTATTTTACTTCTGGCTCTTTTTTTCTCAACACTTTTTTGTTGTTGTTTTATTCTTACTTTTTTTGTTTAAAATAAAATGCACTGTTGGTTAAGGGCTGTAGTAAGCATTTCACTGTAATGTCTGCACCTTGTTGTATTCGGGCGCATGTGACCAATAATTTGATTTGATTTGATTTGATTTGATCTCCTATTCTCTCCATCTCTCCATCTCCTATTCTCTCCATCTCTCCATCTCCCATTCTCTCCATCTCTCGCTCTCTCATCTCCTATTCTCTCCATCTCTCCATCTCCTATTCTCATCCATCTCTCCATCTCCTATTCTCTCCATCTCTCCATATCCTATTCTCTCCATCTCTCCATCTTCCATTCTCTCCATCTCTCCATCTTCTATTTTCTCCATCTCTCCATCTCCTATTCTCTCCATCTCTCCATCTCCCAATCTCTCCATCTCTCCATCTTCTATTCTCTCCATCTCTCCATCTCCTATTTTCTCCATCTCTCCATCTCCCATTCTCTCCATCTCTCCATCTTCTATTCTCTCCATCTCTCCATCTCCTATTTTCTCCATCTCTCCATCTCCTATTCTCTCCATCTCTCCATCTCCTATTCTCTCCATCTCTCCATCTCCCATTCTCTCCATCTCTCCATCTCCTATTCTCTCCATCTCTCCATCTCTCCAGCTCCCATTCTCTCCATCTCTCCATCTCCTATTCTCTACATCTCTCCATCTCCCATTCTCTCCATCTCATATTCTCTCCATCTCTCCATCTCCTATTCTCTCCACCTCTCCATCTCCCATTCTCTCCATCTCTCCATCTCCCATTCTCTCCATCTCTCCATCTCCTATTCTCTACAATCCCCCATCTCCCATTCTCTCCATCTCTCCATCTCATATTCTCTCCATTTCTCCATCTCCTATTCTCTCCATCTCTCCATCTCCTATTCTCTCCATCTCTCCATCTCCCATTCTCTCAATTTATCCATCTCATATTCTCTCCATCTCTCCATCTTCTATTCTCTCCATCTCTCCATCTCCTATTTTCTCCATCTCTCCATCTCCTATTCTCTCCATCTCTCCATCTCCTATTCTCTCCATCTCTCCATCTCCCATTCTCTCCATCTCTCCATCTCCTATTCTCTCCATCTCTCCATCTCCCATTCTCTCCATTTCTCCATCTCCTATTCTCTCCATCTCTCATTCTCTCCATCTCTCCATCTCTCCATCTCCCATTCTCTCCATCTCTCCATCTCCCATTCTCTCCCATCTCTCCATCTCCTATTCTCTACATCTCCTCCCATCTCCCATTCTCTCCATCTCTCCATCTCCTATTCTCTCCATCTCTCCATCTCCTATTCTCTCCATCTCTCCATCTCATATTCTCTCCATCTCTCCATCTCCCATCTCCATTCTCCATTCTCCATC